GTTTGTGTCGGGGCTCAGGTGTGCGTGAGGGGTGTTAGGGCCCATAGTGCTCTCAGGTGTGCATGGGGGTGGTTGGGCCCACAGCGGGTTCAGGTGTGTGTGAGGGAGTTACGGTCCTACAGTGGTTTCAGGGGGCCGAGGGACCGAGCGCTGTAGTAACCTCAGGTGTAGGGAGGGGAGCGGGATGATGAGGTCTACAGTGGTCTCAAGTATGAGGAATGGATGTTGGGGTCCATATCAGGCTCAGGTGTATGTGTATAGAGGGGTGTCAGGGGCCATAATTAGTTCTGAGGTGTTCGTGTACACTGTCAGGGTCTGTAGTGGTATCAAATGTTCTTGTGTTGTGGCCCACAACCAGCTCCTGTGCGTGGGGACAGTGTTCGGGTGCAGTAAAGAGGCAGCTCTGGGTCTTCAATCTGGTGCTGAGGTGTTGGGGGAGCCCTGACAGGGACTGTGCGTCCTGTGGCACGACCCAGCAGGAAGAGGCCCCTGGTACCCAAACAGGAGCAGCTGTGATTTGGCAGCAAAGCCCCAAAGGAAAAGGAACTGTAGCAGGGGTTGAGAGCTCTGGGTTAGGAGGTGCTCAGAGCAGAGGCAGGGTAAGGTGAGTTCATGCTGTTTCAGCCATGCTTGGTGGTTCCCCACAGCCTCTAAACCTAAGCACTTCATAGCTGTAGAGGCTTATTTGACAAGGGGGGTTAATTATTTTATTTTTGTAAATAAAACTGAAGGAGCAGAGCTTTATCTGCCAGTACCTGGAGCAGCCTCATTCTGCCAACTTGCTCCTGACAGCTGTTCCCCTTCTTGGGCTTCTAGAAGCATCCTCAGAGAGCTGTGTGAAACCACAGGTACAGAAACCTGAGAGCCCCGAGTCCCAGGTGAGGGGTGTTGGTGTGTCCTGTGCCTAAGAGGCCAAGGTACAATACCAGCTGTCCTCATTGTAGTCGAGTAATTTCACACAATGAGTTTCCTGTTTATAAGCTGACCTTCCCAATCTCATTTTTGCCCTCCGTTTCTTACGAGTGGAAAGAAGAGCACAGTGAGCACGACTCATCTGTCAGCAGCTCTGTGAAAAGCTGATGCTGAGCAAGCAGGAGGCAGAGATCTCTCCCCAAACCGAGCGCGTACAAAGCACTGAGTGAGTTGTGACGAGAACAACAGCTCCGATGGAAGCACGAGCCAAGAACAACAGCTCGACAGGGAACTTTACACTTTCCCTGACAGCTCCTTGGGGCGGAGACAGTTAAGTTTCTGCGTTTGTAAGGGAAACATGGCATTCCTTAAAGCTGAGCCTCCTCCCTCGGGTTCCCACTGAATGCCTGAGAGATGACAGCAGAGGGTGTCTCCAGCAGGCTCCTATTAAACAGGAGGAATTAGCACGGAGGGAGCAAGAGCGAGATCCCAGTTTTGACCACAGAGTGAGCAAAAAAGCTTTGCATCAGCAGCAGTTTGCAGTTTTTTTACCCACTGACTGCACACAGCTCCTCTTCAGGGGGTTTCTGTGCCCTCGTGTCGGTGCCTGCACCTGTCCGATGTGCGAAGGGCTGTGCTGGGAGGGCAGACCAGCTCCAAACAGAAAGTGCTGAGGCAGCAGTGAGGCAGGACAGATGATCCTTGGGAGGGCAGTTGTGGTTCAGACACACTGGGAACTGGTTTGATATCCCCAGCAGCACAAACCCGGCTGGCCGGGGAGCTGGTGAGCCGAGTATGTGGACAGATGGAATAGATACAGACAGGAAATGGGGGAGAAAGGGGAAATATTAGTGTTTGTACAGCTCCGAGGAGGCTCAGGTTGGTTCTCGAGTCCTGCAGTCCCATTTCTATTTTTAGCTCAGTCACTGGATGGCTTTGGGGAGTGATTGGAGGAGCTCGAGCCAGGTGTGAGTGCGGGGAGAGGACAAACCTCTGGCCACCAGGCAGCTCATGCGATGTGGCAGCCGCCACCACGCCCTTTCCTGTTCACCCCGGGGCCCCGGGCAGCCGTGCCAGCCACACTGCCTGAGTGGGGAGAAGGGAAAAGGAGGGGTTTTCAAAGTGCTGGTAACCCACAGCATTCCTCGGGAAAGGAGAGGTGGCGAGCAGCTCTGGTGGTGTCTCTCCCCTGAAACAAAAGCTCACAGAAGTTCTGGAAGCTGCTTTGGGCGGGGGTGCCGACTTCTGGCCGTGCCTCAGCCTCGTGCCCTGTTAGAGGCAATATTGACTTAAAGAAAGAGGCATGGAGCATGCTTGGCATGGGTGTTCCGAGTTAAAAATTGTCAGTCTGGGCAAACAGACCTTTGGGGTGATCGGCAGGAAAGCCGAGTGGCTGCGCTGCATTATTACTGCTCCTTTCAGAGCACGGTGTGACCTGGTGCTGCTCTGGGCGCTGAGCACCCGGCTCGGCGGGTTTGGAGAAGCGCTGCAGGTTTTGGAGCTCAGTGCTTCAGATCAAACCCATTTCCTTCCCCTCGGTGAGGTGTTTGTACTGCCTCAGTGAGTCAATAAGCATGTGAGGAATGCATCTCACAGCTGAAGGTGAGCGATTAGTGTGGCTGTGCTGGAGGTGATGAGATTAATTAGTCCTTCCCAGGTGAAATGGAGCTCAAGAAATAAGATATATGAGATATTTAGTCTGAAATACCACTGTGAGGCATTTTCAGAGGGAAGTGGGATCCTGCATATGACTCTTACCACAGGATATTTATCTTGATCCTTAATTTTGTAGCAGTGCCTCGTCAGGAGAAGAACCAGTACCTGGCAGATGGGAGGCACGTGTTCTACAAAAGCTGCTGTTCACTGGCAGGAGGCACCTGATTCTCTGGGTGAGAACACAGTGCTGTCTGTGCTGGGGCTCTGCTGAGATTGTGAAGGAACAGGGAAGTCATTTCTCTATTAAAATATAATAAAATTCGAAACAGTGTAAATGTCCTCATGAGTCCATCCCCACCGAGGCTCTGTCTGGGGAACAGCTCTGCTCTATGTATCACAGAATCGTAGAACGGGCCAGGTTGGAAGGGATCACAGTAGCATCATCTGCTCCAGCAAGGTCTTCCCAGAGCACGTGGCGCAGGATTGTGTCCAGACGGCTCTGGAATATCCCCAGTGAGGGAGACTCCACAGCCTCTCTGGTCTCAGTTCCGCTGCTGGGTGACTGCACAGTGAAGAAACTCTTCCTCATCTCTAGGTGGAACTTCCTGTCCGTGTTTCTGCCTGTTGCTCTGTCCTGTGTCTTGGCACCTCTGAGCAGAGCCTGGTCCATGCACACGAGCCCAGGTGGCCACAACCGGCTTGAGGAGTTAAACCCCACGTCCAGGACAGTATCCCCGTGCCACGCACTGGACAGGGCCGGGGCTCGAACCCTCAACCCTCGGAGCGCAGGGCCCGCGTTGGCCGGACGGGGGCGCGGCGGCCCCGGCGCCGCCCGGA